ACGGTATCGACTGGGCGTGAACACCAGTGAGAGTGTCTCTCGGGCTAGCATTAGCATTCGCGCGCATGAGTCATCATAGCGCCTGTACTTGGCAGCCGCGTTGCAGGCACGCTCGCGTGCCTTTAGCCTACAGCGACCCGGGCGATTTCGTGCGGTCGACTTTACCTAGGCAGTTACATCTCAGCAGAAGGAGACTTGCAAGAGGAACTCGCAGACAGGATAAACACAGCATGGATGAAATGAAGAGCCTTAACAACAGTTCTGTGCAACAGACGAATGCCAGTACAGCTCAGGTCGCAACTGTGCCGGACCGTCATCCCTCCAGCAGCCCTCTATGGTAGTGAGTGCTGGCCATTTTCCGGATGAGGAGCGCAAGCTCGGTGTCATGGAAACAAGGATGCTACGATGGAGTCACACTGGAAGATGAAACTGCAATGATACTGTAGAGCCCGAACAGAAGTAGCGTCAATTGCCCAGAAAATGCAGGAAAAGAGACTGCCATGGTACGGCCATGTGCGCAGAGGGGAGGAAGCCACATTATGAGGCTAGCCTTAACGGTGGAAGTACCAGGCAAAAGACCCAGAGGTAGACCCAAGATGAGGTAGATGGATAGGATCATAGCCGATCTACGAGAGCTTGGAGTAGTTGAAGACATTGCCTCGAATAGGAAAACATGGGGACAAATAACAAGAAAAGCAGACCCTACATATGAGGATAAAAAAACACAACATGCGAGGATAAAAAAAATCTGCATCACTTTTACTAACCGCTCCTTCTCGCACCCAATCGAGATTAAGAAATACCCATGAAAAATTGAATATGGGTCTTTCCTAATTATTATATAAATAATAGACGATTCTGGAGCAAAAAGGGAGGAGTGGATTGAGCATAGTAATTACGGCTAGCAATCTAATTCTGATATCATCATAGTGTTCGGATAACTTTGACCGCTGCAGAATAAATCTTCCTAACAATAAGAAACGACTCTATCTTCAAAGCTCCGCATTTCCATCGTACAACCAGTCTAGGCAAACCCAATCTTTTGTTTCTACTTTCTGCAAACGTCAAAATTTGCTTTGCAATGCACAGTTTTTACTTTGTGAGCAAGTTGTTGCAAAGATCAGATGATCCGCTTTTTGTACTCATGGTAAGGTATTGGCCTCCATATCATACGAGGTGGAGAGTGGAAATTTTACCAAAAAAATCACTACAGGGTGGGGCAAAAGTCTGGGAGCCTAGTACTTTTTCAGATAAAATTAGAAGGAAAGTGCCTAGGAACAAAAAATTTGGTGCACACATAAATTGAACCTTTACAAATACAACAGTGCTCTCATATTTTGAAATTGCCTCTTCTGCCTTCAAAGCAGCCATTCGAAATCTTGGCGAGTCTGCCTGTTCTGGCACGCAGACAGTCATGATGAAATTTGTCCTGCGCCTTTACGGTAACTGTTTCTTTCTCCGTGCAAATGTGCGGTGTGATAGAGCAAGCTTTTAGCTACAACGTACTGCGAAGAAATTTTTTTTGCAATGTCAGGAAAAAAATTTTGGAATTTTAATTGAAGGCAAGTGTACTCGTATACTGGAAATCTGGTTGCGACTGCTCGAACGGGAGCGAAGAATCGTAATCTGAAAAATACTGAAATTGCTTGATCGATCGAACTTAAGTACATGCTTGCACAGAAGACTTATGGAAAGAATATAGACTAGAATTCAGTGCCTGCTGTGCTCCTATACTTTAAAATTTATTTTAAAGAAAAATGGCCACTGGCACGCAGGTAGTATTCGCAAATTTTTATTTTGCGTTTTCGAAAGAATAGTATCTGACAAACGCAATGACAACGAATCGATAGCGCAAGGTCTCCTTTACATTGTATGCATCGAAGCTCTTTAGAATATACTGTATCTTTAGCTACAAAGTAAGTTGTGAAGACCAAAAATTTCGATTTTCTAGCATTGCAGAGCACTTGTTCGATAAATCCAACTCCTACAAAAACATATGGCAAGCATTTTCAGCCAGCCAAAGTGCGATTTGTAGAAGATGATCGCAGCAATATGTGACACAAATTTGGAGTCAAAATCATCAGTAGTTTCTTGATTTACAGCACTACAAAATAGGCTCACAGACTTTTGCCCCACCCTGTATAATACACACCTCGATATCTCTTCACGATGATGGTCTGCAATTAATAGTTATTGGCCACTTCGACTCTATGACCCTCCCTTATTGATCGTTTTGGACTCGGGTTGTACATAAAAAACAAAGTATTTCTTCTTAAAATCCTCAAAGTCGAAATTTTATGATTGACGAAAATTTTTCGAAGGCTGATTGCAATCAAATTAATTTTTTAATGCAAAAGCGAGCTGGTAAAAGTTGATTCAAACGCAATTTGAGCTAATTACCTTTTTTAAATTTGGGAAGGATTCTATGGACCTATTAGCAGGGATTGCAATGTCTTGGTGACCTTTTGGATAACGACGAATATCTCACAGATACCACAAAGTTCACTTTGCATGGTGAGCGCAAATAGCTCATTTGCAGTGTAAAAGGTATGCTTTTATAATGACTTATTGTTTGGTTGTGATTGTGTTGATATTTAGATTCTTGTATTCGCCACCAGAATTACTAAAACGCGATTGGCACTAATAACTTCACTGCCATATGGCTTTGGTGATTATCTACAACCATTACGTGGGAATGTTATATTTTGCCAAAATGCCTCTGTATCACAAGTCAGAATGCTACGGCAAAAAACCGTTTTGGTCAGAATGCTACAGCAAAAAAAAGAAACCATTCCAGTAGTCATTCTCAGATGCTTACAGCCCCTTACAAAGCATGTCATTGCTAACGTAAGAAGATTAAGGGGTTGCTCCTTTGATTTCTGACACTGTTGAGAAAAAAGAATTTTTTCGTTATCGCAACGTATGTCAAACATTGGATAAAACATTCATTTCCATACTTACACTCTTACTTGGAATATTCTCGTTAGTTGCTTGAGCGTAATCCAAGATTGGTACAGAACTTTATCGCACAGAATAACAGACTAAGGCCCTAGCCAGACAGCTCAAAAGCGCTCAAAAGCGCCCAAACTTCTCTAACCTCTCCTCACTCTCTCTCATCTCTCCTCACATGAGAAAGTGAAGAAACACCAGAGAAATTTGGGCGCTTTTGGGCGCTTTTGAGCGTTTTGGGCGCTTTTGAGCGAAGTCTGACCAGGGCCTGACGTTTCGGCGAACTCGCCTTCTTCAGATTCTGAAAAAGTCGAAGACACATAAGTAAACTATCCGATCGAACACCTCGTCGACTAAAGAAAGGAGCCCAACCCCCTAAGAAAAACAACAGCCTCAACTAAACCAAGATTAAGCTAGTGCTCACCTTACCAGATGATAATTTGGTGGGTGCAGACCACTTATGTCAAAAGCTGTACTGCTTTACTTTTATAGTTAACTAGTGACCCGGTTCTGACCTGACCTCATTATTCAAAAGCTACAGAGGCTCTGATATGGTGACAGCTCGTTAGTAATGGCTAGGCACTCGTCCTTCCGATTGATTTTTGGATCTTGGGCGGCTATCCAAAACGCTGCGAGTGTCTTGCGCGCTAGGATTTCGGGTTCATGCGCCAGGATTCGAACCTGCACCACCACCTCCGCGTCGTCATGGCTGAGCCTGCGATGCATGCCTAACGGAGTAGCTACGTTGCCCTTGCTGAGACCATCTAAGTGTTCTTTGATGCGCGTGCATAGGGGCGACCCGTCTCGCCAATATACATGTCTCCGCATGATGTACACGTGATAAGGTAGAAAACACCTGATGCCATACAATCTCCTTCCTTGCCGTATGCACAAATCACACAATTAGGAGTTGTACAAAGATGATCATACTCCCGGTTTCGTACTAGCTGCTGTTTCAGGTTTGCGAGCGGAACGTCGACGATCCTTACCATATCGTTGAGACCTGCTTGATGAAGTAATTGTGAACAGCCCTGCTAAACTCTTCTGAGATATATGGCAGACAGAATGGGATCTGATCATCAGCTCCCGATCTAGGCAGTGTACCTGGACTCAGTATCTGTAAGGGTGATGAGTTTTCGTGCCGTACCCATTAGATCTTGCTACTGATTCTGCGAGCTCCAGCGAACGCATCTTCTCGTCCCTATCAGAAGAGACCCCTGCAGCCGTTCTAAACATGTTTCCTACGATGGAGGCCTTTATTCGTGAGGGATGTGCTGAAGAAGGTGTATAAGATGTTTTTGCTGCTCAGCTTTCGGTACCTCTGGTCTTGAAACCTCTGTCCGATAAACATAACTGTACGTTGAAGAACCATCCATCTTTGGGTTTTCCCTCGTCATCTTGATGTTAGTGTCCTGGGCATTCATGATATTAAAGCAAGCATCAAGCTCGGCCTGGGTAGGACATACGATACAGTAGTCGTCCACTTACCGACAGTAGAGCAGAGGCTTGCTCGCCAGTACTGGGGCTTTTACCTTAGACATGAAAACAATTGCCAAGGTCGGCGCTAGTCTCTGTCCCATAGCCAAACCTCTAATCTGCCTGTAATAGTTTCCACACCAGCGAAATATGGAGCAGCTGAGACATTCTTTGGTTAACGACAAGATGCCTCTGATGCTAAGGCCATAAAGATTGAGTGACGACTGTTGTTCTACAAGAAGTTCGAAGGTCGCTTGCATTGCGGCGTTGTTGGAGACGTTGGTATAGAGCAATTTCACATCGAAAGACTCCAAAACGCCTTGCCTTACATTGGTGCTGCGCAGACGATCAAGAAACATTCTGGTGTTGGAGAGATGTGCGGGGAGAAATCGTGAGTGGTAAAAATTGTTAATGAAAATTTTTGTATGAAAACCCATTTTTGAGGAATGACAAAGCAAGACACTAGTGGGTGGAAACCGGTGCAACCGTGAATTTCATATCATTTCCCCTCTTTCAGCGACGAATTCACATCATAGGTCTGCCAAAAACACAAGTGTAACTGTCATGCAATCTTACAATTCCATTCATATAATGTTCATTTTCTTAAGTTGTTCATTTCTATCAGTACATATTTTTGCATATTTATTGATGCAATTTGCTCAAACTTTCATAGCACCGGCAACGACCCACGATTCGATATTGCATTCATTGGTCCCGCGAAGTATTTTGAAGAAGCCTGAACAAATAATGGAAATGCCTTATAACCGTCTGAGTGAACAACTTATGAACGTACCATCTTCGCCCCAGTCGTAGTTCCAAGAGTTTGCAACAAGCCAGTATTTGACACCATTTTCTACACCCCATCCAATAATTTTAACAGCATGAGCTCCATATTGTTTTCCAGTTTTATGCTGAAATATGAAATTTTTAGTTTTCTAATGTCATATTGTACTCGTTACGCTTTGTATATTTTATGTCGAGAAGTAATCAGAGTAAGCAACTTGATTGTGTGTGGTATGCAAATCAAAAAATTTGGGATTTAGTTAGAATACCGCTCACATTTTTTGAAAAATAGACGCGAATGTATGGACATGTATGGACATGTCGCTACATGTCGCTGTCGCCATACATGTAGCTCTCGCCGCTTCAGAGTGGACGAATTCTGAATCCAAAGCCACCGTTCGATTCAGCTCGGCGCGGAGAATCTCTTAATATATTGGAAGTGGGGGGTACGATATCTTCGATATTCCGTTTGCAGTTTTTCAAATTCTTCTGCGGAGGTCCCTTCGCGAATATGTGAAGCAGCGCCTATCCCACATGGAAGAATCCACCAAGTAATATTCGATAGTGCTGTTTTTGTAGATTTGTGCGCTAAAAAATAGGCTCAGACTTCTTTCCAAAGGAGATATAGGGGCCTGCAGGATCGCGAGAGTCGGACGCGCGTACGGCCTTTGCGCCGCGCACGCCTGATATCGCTGGGTCGTAGTCGATTAAGGCTAGATAGGTAAGTTTTTTTGTTTTTCTTTACATTTCACGCCTTCTTTTCTTTTCAGACGGTGAGCACATGTTGGTGCGGAGGAGTTCAAGATCTGAATTAAGGTGAGGTGCAGGATTATGCTCAATACGGACTCAATATTGCAGACCTTCCATGCCTGCTGGTTGAGATGTTGGATTTTCTGTCCTGGCTGCCCTGTTACAGCCCTGTTCTTTTCTATCGTCTATTCTACCTTATCTTGCATATTGCTTGTGATGATGATGATGATGATGACAATGATTATGATTGTGATGACGCGCACGATGCAAGATGAGGTAGAACAGACGTTGCAAATAAAACGGAGTTTCGTAACCGGGCAGGCAGGACGAAAAATCGAACATGATCGGACAGCTAGAAAGAAAACTCAACATTCTTCAAAGCAGGGGTGAAAAGTCCACAATATTGGCCCGTATTGAGCATGATCCTGCACCTCACCTTAATCTAGATCTTAAACTCCTCTGCACCAACATATGTTCGCCGCCTGAAAAGAAAAGAAGGCGAGAAATGAGAAGAAAAACAAAAAAATCTCACCTATCCAGCCTAAATCGAGTACGACCCAGTGACATACGACGTGCGCGGCGCAATGGCCGTACGCACGTCCGACTTTCGCGATCCTGCAGGCCCCTATAGAAGCGTTGGTGAATTTTGGAAAAATCACGCGTTTTTAAATTCTACTCATCATAACTTCCTTCGGAATAAGTATATTTTGAATCCGAAAGCAGCACCTTGCTCAGCTTATCAAGGCGAATCTTTTTATGTACAGCATGTCCTTGATATTTCGATTTCAGTATTCTTGAATCTTTCTGAGGACGTCTTTTCGCAAAGGTGTAAAGCAGCGAGCATTGTCCCGAAATACATTCCAGCAAGGATCTTTCGATAGTACTTTTTCTGTAGATTATGATGTGCTAAATACCAGCAGCAGATTTCTTTTCAAAGGGAATAGAACGGCTGGTGAATTGTGAAAAAATCTTGCCGTACCAAATTCTACTCGCCATAGCCCCAGATACGAAGCTATCTTGCTAAGTAGACGTGAGCTTCGAAATCAGTAGGTCGGATAACCTCCACAAGCAAGTTTTCCGATACGTTCGGGTTATTTCATTTTTTCTCGTTTTACGCTCCGGAAGCTCGCCGATGGATTTTGGTCAAAATGTTGATGCTCTTGAATTGTGAGGAAACTTTGTTTATAGAGGCCTTCTAACGCGCTCTTTACGAAAATCGTGGTCTCTGAGGATTACAGGGTCTTTTTGGAGAGATATGGAGAGGTGACTGTAACTGCATCACGAAAGTGCGTAACTTTGCCCGCATTTCTCGCGCATCTGTCAGAAAACTTGCCTGCTTACTTTTCTAAGTCAAAGTTACTAGGAATTGTGCTATCGAATGGTGCATGACTCAGGCTCCAGTCCGTGAAATCCGCCGAGTTACGAGTCTACGAAAACACGTCCTCATGAATTTTGCCAAAAATGTAAAGATCGCATATTTCGTCGAAATTCCTCCTTGAGCGCTTGTATGACGCTCGTTGCAGATATTAATTCGCTTCGTCCAACGACTCCCACTGTATTGAATATAGTGCTTGCGTGTGTTTCAGCTGCTCAATTGAATATCAAAGTTATTTCATGGCTAGAGCTCAAAGCACAAATCTAACACAATAAGATCCATTAAAAATGTGGAAGGATTTGATCAGCGTTTTGTATAAGCGCTCACGGTGGAATTTCGACGAAATATGCGATCTTTATATTTTGGGCAAAATTCATGAGGAAGTGTTTTCGTAGGCTCGTAACTCGGCGAATTTCACAGACTGGAGCCTGAGTCATGCACCATTCGATAGCACAATTCCTAGTGACTTTGACTTGGAAAAGTAAGCAGGCAAGTTTTTGACATATACGCGAGAAATGCGGGCAAAGTTACGCACTTTCGTGATGCAGTTACAGTCACCTCTCCATATCTCTCTATCTGTCTATCCTGTAATCCTCAGAGACCACGATTTTCGTAAAGAGCGCGTTAGAAGGCCTCTATAAACGAAGTTTTCTCACAATTCAAGAGCATCAACATTTTGACCAAAATCCATCGGCGAGCTTCCGGAGCGTAAAACGAGAAAAAATGAAATAACCCGAACGTATCGGAAAACTTGCTTGTGGAGGTTATCCGACCTACTGATTTCGAAGCTCACGTCTACTTAGCAAGATAGCTTCGTATCTGGGGCTATGGCGAGTAGAATTTGGTACGGCAAGATTTTTTCACAATTCACCAGCCGTTCTATTTCCTTTGAAAAGAAATCTGCTGCTAGTATTTAGCACATCATAATCTACAGAAAAAGTACTATCGAAAGATCCTTGCTGGAATGTATTTCGGGACAATGCTCGCTGCTTTACACCTTTGCGAAAAGACGTCTTCAGAAAGATTCAAGAATACTGAAATCGAAATATCAAGGACATGCTGTACATAAAAAGATTCGCCTTGATAAGCTGAGCAAGGTGCTGCTTTCGGTTTAAAAACTTACTTATTCCGAAGGAAGTTATGATGGGTAGAATTTAAAAACGCGTGATTTTTCCAAAATTCACCAACGCTTCTATCTCCTTTGGAAAGAAGTCTGAGCCTATTTTTTAGCGCACAAATCTACAAAAACAGCACTATCGAATATTACTTGGTGGATTCTTCCATGTGGGATAGGCGCTGCTTCACATTCGCGAAGGGACCTCCGCAGAAGAATTTGAAAAAACTGGAAACGGAATATCGAAATTATCGTACCCCCACTTTCAATACATCAGAAGATTCTCCGCGCCGAGCTGAATCGAACGGTGGCTTTGGATTCAGAATTCGTCCACTCTGAAGCGGCGAGATATGGCCACGTGACTGTGATGTCCATACATGTAGCGATATGTATGGACATGTCGCTACATGTATGGACATGTAGCGACATGTCCATACATGTCCATACATTCTCGTTTATTTTTAAAAAAATGTGAGCGGTATTGTATTTCCACAGCCGTCTCTATGGACTTCCAGCTCATAGATCCTCAGTCTAGGCGAGTTTTGCGAATTACTCTCCAAATCCTGACTCATTTGTCAATTCTGAGCAAATAGTCATCATATAATCACTCTAGAATCGGAATGTGCATGAACGGTTGTCACCCACAGCAAAAAATTCCACTTTGAATATCATAAAAAAATGCAAATTTTAAGTGTGATTGTTCAGGAGACCGTTCTCTGTTAAGACTATATACGTTCTTGAGTATTGAGTTGGTAAAAAGTTTTGTCAGTTTTTTGAACAAGCCCGCGAATCTCGCACAGTAAAGTCAAACAAACGCTTCAAGCGGTCACGCAGAACTTCTTCCCTCTTTCCAGAGGCCATGTTCTTAATGTGACTTACTAAGGTGGTGCTGAGATATATTGCAGATCACAACCCTTCATTTTTGGCACGTCCAACTTTCGCTGATTCTCGAAGCTTTTACTCGAGGCTGTCGAAGATGTGATGGCTAGCTGGGAGGGCAAACCTTTTGCAACTCAATGTAAATCTTGTAGCTTTCTAACATGCCTTCTCAAATTTCTGAGATGTATTTTTTTGAAGTGACCAAGTGTTACATTTAGGAAATATCATATGCATTTTTTCTCTTTCTAACAGCTGTGTTTTCTTTGCAAAACATGCCAAAATTAGGCTATATTACCGTATTTCTTGTTACAACCGTAGTATTACAATCACTCTTCACTGTAGTATACTAACTTCCAAATTCCTATAAAACAGAAAATCGCTCATTTTGTTTGCTAGGTTAGTGGCAGTGATGGCTGAGTTGTGAATTTTGGTATCCTTCAAGATTTTGCAAATTTTGGTGAAATTATGTGTTCCGAGATTTTTCAAAACGCAGTACTTCTGCAAAATAATCAAGTAAAGTTCTAAAAAGCAAGCTGAACAAATGGCAACAACAAATTGCCTTAACAAGCAAAAGGTTTGCGCTATCTGTTAGTTATCATTCCGCCAAAGACCTCGAATAAAATTCGAAAAACTATTGGAACGTAAACTTGCCAAAAATGTTTTTATTATAGGTTACTCTATGCCATCTAATGGATCTAGCAACTACATTATTATATTTTAGGTTAGTTTACCTTCTTTAATTTGTTTTTGTCTTTTTTTATATATGATTTAGGATCTTCCTTCAGTACTGATGAGTCCCGGGAAGATCGTATGCTTACCTACTTTCCATATAGTGATAGGAACGAAACGGAAATTAGGTAATTTCCTTTTCTTTTATTTGCCAAAAGTGATGGGTCGCAATTATCCTTCGTCAATTACCTCAGTGCTCATTAGGAGAATTGCATCCAAAACAAAGCAGAAAGAGGAAGAAGTTCCGCATCGTACACTTTTCAATGCCCTTAGATTTACTTTACCGTTCTTACGGGTGAATTCAAGAAATCTACAAACTTTTACGCGACATATACGCAGCTCGCCCAAATTGCTCAATTAGAAGTAATTTGTATAGCACACAGCCAAAGTGAGGACTAGAGTTTCCAGTCCTCGTTATCAAACAGAAGAATACATACTACATAGACTCCACGCTTATAGAAGTAGAAGTCCGAATAAACTTCATAACCGGTTTGAACAGGTCCGTTAATCATAATTTCCTTTTGTATTGCTTCTTCAGTTGCGTTGACGCAGTATGCGCTTGATGCTGAATGGTTTCTACGTCAAATGGTATCTATTATAGTAAATCTGCACTAGAAAATACCATAGTTCTTGTCCTTGTCGTACTTTGGTTTATAGCCGAATGCACAAGTTTTGCGACAAGCTGGGGTTTTTCGCGTACCACTGCATTCGCCGTAATACGGCTGGCCAGCGTGCTTACCGCATGGATGGAATGGATAGTATTTGCAGCAGTCCTGGAAAGCGGTAAGCTGAAAGTCAAACATGAAGCTGCTTGTTTACCTTGGCCAGGTAGGGGCCTCCAGAACAAGCTCCTTCCTTCATTACAAATTCCCAAGCCTCTAGCAAGACTCCTCCCTCACATCTAAAAAAAAGCGATTTAATGGAGGAATTCCAAGGACTATAGCCGCGCAGGTCCCTACAATATATGAAGGTTTGCGTGGGTGTAAGAAATATGTCGTAAAGTTCCATTTTTTGAAAGATCGATGTCCATTTATTTGAAATTGTATTTTGTTCGGGAAACAAGACCGCAATTCGACCAAAGCAGTCAAGGTTCATTCATTCCATAAAGTGGCTCATCATATTCAAGTAACAAATTTGCACCTTATATTTGAACCTGAGCATGCCTTTACTTTATTGACTACGTAGATTTTGCTAAAAATGCACTTTGCCTGGTTCACCTCTTTTCCTTGTTTCCTTCAGTAGAAATTCAACTGACTATTCTTGCGTTACTACAAGTTACTGTAATAGGCTCGCACGCATACAATTGCCTCTTCGACTATGAAGTAGTGTGCGTTCAGCGCATGCCCGCAGAGGGTATTGAAGACGCCGAATCCTTTATTTTTTTTATATTTATTTTTTATCCTTATTTTCTCGCTTATTCATACGCAAGTAGAATATTGCTTCAGCGATCGCCTCACTGACGTTTAAGCAATACTACACAAGCAGAAGTGCCAAGCTTACCCTTCTCCGCATAGTGATCCGCAGCAGGCAAGAATATCAGTGTCGGAGATAATTGTCTAAGAAGCAGTATCATTAACTGCTTATTGTGCTCTATTCATACCTTTTTCTCTCCTTGTGAATGAGCACATAATCTATCAGACATGGTTGAAGCAGCAGATACAGCCCAGCACGATCCTAAAATCCGTATTCGTTAAAAAGGCGTTTTTGATGAAGCACGTGCATTACGATCTTACCGCAATTAGCCTGATCTCGAATTTGCTTCATGGAATCGCAGTATGGCCACTTTTCCCGAGCATCAAATCTGCATTCAAAAACAAATGATGTACGATTTTATGCATTTCTTATGCTGAGAAGTAGCTTGCCTTTCCGGTATAGGTTCATTGAGAACAAGTTCATCAGCGGTTTTAGCATGCACAGGCTTCTTCAAGTATTTGAAGTTCATCAAGCGGGATTGAAATTGTTCAAAAGACATTTTTGGGATCTCAGCCTGAAAAAAAACAGTGCATGTGGACGATAAAACGGATAAAAATATACGAGGCTAACAATTTCTACGCTCTAGTAACTATTTATTTTGCGCAGATCAATAATCAAAACCCGCTGAAATTTTTGCACTCTTCAGTTAACACAAATTACCTTATAAAAGGGTTGATTTTCATTGATGAAGTCCACGAAGGCTTGCCCCTCCAAATTGCTGGCACTTTCAGGTATAGGAAGAGCCTTGAACTCTTCTAAATTTGGAGAGTGTTACGAATGCAATACCGCTCAGAGAATGTGCAAGATTTCCGTGAATGTCGGCAAATTCCGAGAATTCCGCGGAACTCCGCGACATTCCCGAAAATTCGCGTCTATTTCTGTAAACGTCGCGAAATTTTCAGAATTCCGCGACGTTTACAGAAACTTTCCACAAACTGCGTGCGGTATTGTAGTTGGCTGCTACTTGCGCAGTCAGACTAAGTTTTCTATCGAAAATCTTCTTTTTGAGTACAGATTCATAAGTATTCTCACTTCGAAAGCAATTCTAAATGACGAAGAGTCACATGTGTTGCCCACCTACGGTGATGCTGTAAGCCGTTGTACATAACGCCGCAAGCAACACTAGGGTTATGCCCATCTAGAAGAAGATATTTTCGATCAATTACACAAGACCATATAAAGGAGTTTCTGAAATGTATCACTGAAGATGCAGAAAATAAAGAAAGATTGCGTGCTGTTGTGAGCAAGCAAGACGCAAAACGAAAGCAAAATGACTTGCTTATTATATCATCTACTATTTATAGGCTTAGATTGTGACCGCAACACGTAGCTTTTTGATAAAACAATTATCTTTTTTTGACTTTATCGAAGTGCTTCTTAATCAGGGCTAGGCATGATGTGGCTTTTTGATTTCAAAAACGTAGTTTATGTAGCCTTTGCCACAAAATTACGAATCATCTATGACGCGATATGAATGGATCAAACACAAGTAACAATGGAATAAAACATGAGAAAACATTGAACAGGCGAAAAAGAAGTAAAAATGTTTGTATTCTCAGAATTGTCGGCATGCTGTGTCCTGCGCGCGTCATTGCGCGGTTGGAGCAGGCTTGTAGCCACCATACGAAATAATTGGGGGGGGGGGGCTGTAACTAGGTGAGGAGAAAGGGGTTTTGAGAGATTCGTAAACACAGTCGTAGGGTTTTTGATGTAGAACAAAGCTATGTAAACCGTGTGAAAAAACGTGAAGCAAGCGAGGTTTACGAATTTTTTTCGAGGCACCTAAGGTGACTGTCCAGGTAGCTGGAAAACCGCCTAATTCCGTAAAAAGCTTGCTACGCTTCAGTTCACATAGTTTCTTCATAATTTTTCACCCATTGCACATTCTCACACCAATTTCAGTATCACATGATTTTCACTTGCACTCGCGACGTCTCCAGAAGATGAAGAGGTGGTATAACAGAGGAGAGCGGGGCCGTGACGGGGGAGGTAGGGGGGGGGGGGGGAGGAGGGATGAAAGTTGTGAGTACGTGATAAAAATCAGGAGTATGTATGAGTACGATCCATGTGATAACAGCTCTGGGATAAGTTTTCTTTTTGAGGGGGGAGGGGGCAAGAATTCCTGAGTCAGTGGGCAGATTCGCCAGCTCATCAAAGTTTTTACTCGTTCATTTTTTTCAGTAATAATCCAGTTTAAGACTGCCTTATGTATCAAAAGTTTTTCAAATACTTTTTTCCGATCCCGACACTCCGTGCACGATCCGGCGATTTTTTTTATACATATTAGGTTGATGCAAAAGTTCTTTCCCCCCATTTTCAAAAATTCATAACTTCTGATTTTTCAATCAATTTGGCTGCATCTATTTTTGTATGAAAGAGTAGCTCATGCTCTTCATAATGACATCTTAACTGCTTGCTAATGATCATTTGTTGCATAGATAGGAGCGATAGAAGAAAATTAGTTAATATTTGAATTTTCTGTGTAGGGTCATAAAAAATCGGAAACTTGCAAGAAAAATCGGGGCACTCATCATTGTAGGTTCTTTTACCAGCTTTTTCTAATGGTGCAAAGTTTGCGTCGATTGAGCGTCTCTATCAAAAGTTACAATTTCCCCGAAAAATGCCAAAATAAATCAAAATCGCCCTTTTGTATTGCTTGCTCGAAAATCATAACTTTTGATAGAGACGCTCAATCGACGCAAACTATACACCGTTAGAAAGAGCTGGTGAAATAACCTACAATTCCGACTGCTCCGAATTTTGTTGTAAGTTTCCGATTTTTTATGACCCTACACAGAAAATTCAAATTTTGACTATTTTTTCTATCGCTCCTGTCTATGCAACAAATGATCATTAGCAAGCAGTTAAGATGTAATTATGAAGAGCATGAGTTACTCTTTCATACAAAAATAGATGCAGCCAAATTGGTTGAAAAAATCAGAAGTTATGAATTTTTGAAAATGGGACGAAAGAACTTTTGCATCAACCTAATATAACAAACTAAGCTTGTACATACATTTTCTCCTCCCTGGATCCAGCAAAAGATATATCCCTTTGTTTTTCTCTGCAAAACGATGTCCAGTCTGCTCCTTGAGCCAAAGTGCCGAGCCCTGTTCTCAGTGTGTAAATTTTCTATACTAAATTACAAGGAGTTGCTTGCAAATGGCACTTTGATGTCAAACTAAATCTGACAATTATGCTGCTCTGGGCTGCAGAAAAAGCTAAAAATCGAATAGAAATAGGCAAACAAAATAATACTTTATTACAGTGAGAAGTATTTCAAAATTTCTGAGTGAATTTGCTCCACCCACAAGTTATGCTTGTTGAGCAGCTTTGATGAATTAAGTTTGAACTAGGCATCATATCCGGGGAGGACCTTCTTATGAAGAGGATTTGCGTGATGAAACATGAATTCCTTAGGCTGTCTATAGTGATAATTTTTTTTGCTGTCAAGTAGAAGCAGAATTAACACAACGACAGTATATCGATAAAAATAGCACAAGTGACCGTGGCACTTCAGTGCAGTGCTTGTTATTACGGGGTTTTTTTTTGAGAAAAAATGGTTTTTCAAAAACTTTTTTGATGTAAGCACTGTGAAAGAGAACTCAAAGGCAATGATTTCACTCTAAAGCGACTCTTGGGTGTGTTACTAAGTAATCAATTTTGATTTTGAAAGCAGGGTCCTGACTAATGTCTAGTAATTTTTCAGCGCTTTTAACAAGCAATCTAGCCATCGCCCTTTCCAAAATTCTTTGCGCGTGCTCAAAGTTGAAGCACAGAACCCTTTAGAGCTCTAACTTCATTTCTTACACTAACTTTAATCTTCGTCCGAAACGCATTCGGACGAAGAGTAAAGTCACTCCATGACTTCCATGACTTTTCCCTCTGATCGTAAACATTTCATATGTCATCTCTAAAGAAGATTATAATTATCAGTTGACATTCTTATCAAGAGGATTAACAGTACCGTGACGGTCCGGAGAGTTCAGGCTAGAAATAGGGGTCGGCAAAAATAACTTTTTGACCCATATATTAGGTTGGTGCAAAAGTTCTTTCGCATTAGATTCAAAAATTCATAACTTGTTGATTTTTCAACAAATCTGCAAGATCTAAAATGTGTTCGAGAGAGGAGCTTATGCTCTTTGCAATTATACCTGAACTTTTTGTAACGTGTACAAATGAAGGAGATAGAAGCGCAAAACCAAAATCACTCAAAATCTGAATTTTTCGTGTAGGCTCATAAAAAATCGGAAACTTACATCAAAATTCGGAGCAGTCGGTATTGCAGGATATTTCACCAGCTCCTTCTAACGGTGCAAAGCTTGCGCCGATTGAGCGTCTCTATTAAAAGTTATGATTTCCCTGAAAATTGCCAAAATAAATCAAATTCGCCCTTTTGTATTGCTTGCTCGAAAATCATAACTTTTCATAAAGACGGTCAATCGGCGCAAACTATACACCGTCAGAAAGGGCTGGTGAAATAACCTACAATCCCGACTGCTCCGATTTTTGTTGTAAGTTTCCGATTTTTTATGATCCTACACGAAAAATTCAGATTTTGAGTGATTATGGTTTTGCACTTCTATCTTCTTCATTTGTGCACATTAATGAACATTTCAAGAACATCTGCAAAGAGCATGAGTTCCTCTCCTATACAAAATTAGATCTTGCAGATTCGTTGAGAATTTAACAAGTTACGAATTTTTGAATTTGGTGCGAAAGACCTTTTGCACCAACCTAATATTTAACTCTATATTCTAAAGCTGGCTAAATGCCAACAACCAAAGTTGGTTGAAGATGAACGGTACTGCCTGACTCTTTATTCTTACACCCAATCAAAGATACTTGTCAGCAATTTGCTTGTGAACATGCCATATTAACAAGAAAATCTTCAAGTATTATGATTTTAACCACAGAACAAAATCACTCAACTTTTTTTGAGTTTAGAATCGGGTATCATTTGTCTTTTGATTCCTTATAGAATTCGAACAGTAATCTACCCATATGAGCTGCCTTGAGATCATGGTTGCGCCTACACAGTCGAAGTGATATTCGTCATTTTTTTTGTATAAAACGTCGCTGAAACCTCTGGCGCTTCGTCCCTTTCTACCCCCACCCACGGATTGCCGGTTGAGCTTCTCACATGGCAAGAAACGTTTGAACGTATACTGTTTTGATTCGGTACTGTTGCATACGACGAGGTTTCCTTTTGCATACGATATGACTAGTGCCGAAACACTCTTCTACCTCTGGCAAGGTAGGGTTTCAAAAAAGGGCAGTTTTGAAAGTTTTCTCTTGGCATGTACCTCATATCCGAAATGAGCGCCATGGAAAGGCGATAACAATAAAAACATTGAAACCGAAATGGTTGGACAGGGTTGAGTAGTAGACGCTGCCTTCAAACACTGCTCTTCAAGCTCTCACTTTATTTCATTAGTCAAATTCCAGCCTTTGCAGTGCGAAAGGATAACCTCTTTAATTTAACTTTAGCTTCCTGCCGTCAACGAAAGCTACAAAAATTTGAGACGAAATGGAAAATTGCTTATGGCTAAGCAAACAAGCAATTCAAAAACTCCACTGCTACAACTACACTCAGAAGTGTTAGAAGCGTTGAACGCACCACTTCTCACTGCGCGAGTCAATCAGAAACGTCATAAGAATTTTGCTTTAAAGATTTAAGGTGCGCAAGAACAATTTTGCGGTAATTGTTCGTACGGTTCCACAAAAAGGTGTTAGAATAAGATTGATATTGTACGATGAGATTAGTACTTAAGCGAAAATATACAATGGCGATCAATAAATGCGTCCTGATATCTTCGTAGTCATATCATCCTTGCTGTTATGTACGCCAAACAAACTTCCTTTTTGCTCATTTTTTTAGAACCAAAACTCTAGAATAACATAGTACTGTGTTCAATTTCCAAGGCATAGAACTGTCCCATATTGTGAGGGCAGGCTTTTTGACTTTCTTCCATCTTTTTGCACGATCTTATATATAAAGTTGAATGTCTGTTTGTCTGTTTGTTTGTCTGTGTGTACATACGTTCGGATTAGAATTTTCTTCTGAGCCGATCCGGACCAAACTTGGCACACATACACTTCGGAGCGGCGCGTAGGTTACTTTTCGTCATCGATCGGTATCGATTTAATCGATTTTTCGATTCTCTGCAAAGCTCGACCTAAGTAGGGG